ATGTAAGAGGATTATTTATGTCAGTATAGGGACCTACTGGGGCTGGTGCACTGGATAAATGACTCAGGACAGTCCTTATCAAGGTAGATGCAAAGGGAATCAAAGCTTGGGTGGGGGATCAAGGAAAGAAGTCTCCTGCATCGTCACGTTTTCCATAGCAACAGGTGTGTTTTCCCACTTGCTCCCCCTGATTCAAGCAACCATTTGCAGACAAAAAAAAAAAAAGCACAATATGAGATCTATTTGGGTCATTTCTGGGAAAAACGTTTTGCTTTATCATAAAAAGGAGACCTCCTAAACGATTCCTTGAATATCTTAGGCCAGCATCTGGCTGGCGAACAGGAAGAAAGAGGAGGGGGAGGAACCTGGCATAAACTAGCAGATGGGAAGTAGGCAGGAAGACTTTCCCATGGTGAGGAAAAACTCTTGGGAGCCCACCCAGCTCTGATCCCTCTTGCCAAAGTGCCCAGCTGATGAGTTCAGCTTGGCCAGCAGTTCTGACTGCTGCTTCTTAAAAAGAGGGAATTGGGCACGGGGGGGAGGGGGAGAAAGCTGCCTTACTAAGAAAGTTCTGCAAAATGAAAGCAGTTCAAAAGCTTTGGATTTCTGAACATCTTCACGTTTTCAACATCACGAAGACAATTCCTTCCACCAGAACATCACTGAGGCTACTGGGGGAAGAAGCTTTCAGCATTCCTTGTTTTAAAAAGTTAACGGTTTTTTAAACGGCCCAAGTCGTTGAGTCTGGCCACATAGAAATCTAATGAATTGTTATTAAAAAGCGAAGGAGATTCTTCTCTGGTGAAGGCAAGCTACTGGACCATCTGTTTGGATCTTTCAGAGGAAAAACACAAACAAACCAACCGTGCCGTGCCCAACTCTGCTGAAGTTTGCGCCACAGAGTCGCTTTTGGTGAGATGGGCAGCAAATGAATGAATGAATGAATGAATGAATGAATGAATGAATTAATGAAACACGCAGCTCCCTGAACTGAAATTAGCAAATGAGCCCAAGTGTCTGGGCTCATACAATTTTTAAGTAACAAGTTGGCATAACAAGGTGGACCACAAACTAGCCAAAGCATTTGGCAAGTGGTTCAAAATGTGTTTTGTGCAAACCACAGTACTTAAGGCAAGGGTCCCCAACCACCACCACCCCTGGTCCATGGACCAGTACCGGGCCAAGGCATGCCAGCAACCGGTTCGCACAAACAAGGAAAGCCCCATCCGGGGGATGCAGGCAGCACACAAACCACGCCTCCTCCAGTCCACGGAAAAAAACCTCTCTCCACATAACCGGTCCCTGGTACCCAAAAGGTTGGGGACCTCTGACCTGAGGCACCAAAGGATGGATCACACAGGTTTATGAGGGAAAGGTAAGACCTTTTTGCAACTCTTGCCCATGAGTGCTTTGCTTTAACCTAGTTTGTTCTCTAGGCCCCTGTTGGCTGAACGTGTGAATTATGCTAGACTGTAAATTGTGGCTCACAAAACACTACACTCTAAACTTGAAATCCAACTGTTATGGGATGGCTTGAAAAGGAACTCAAGCTATGAAAACACAAGAGACCTCAACGCCTCTCCTCCGGCAGCCTGCATTAATGATTAGGAAAATCTGTCCGTGTCCGAAAGATGGAGAGAGAAAGAGAATGCCAACACCAAACGGAAAGTGTCTCCGCATCAGTTACGCTTGCTGATAATGTCCCCCCTTGATTTCGTGGTCGGCCGTATCTTGGGAAGAGACGTCGAAGAACGATTCTCGCAACTCTGGGGCGCTTCGGATTCCTCCAGGAGGAACTCAGGGACGGCGCCCTCTCCCCATTTCCGGTTAAATATTTACACGACTCCTGAGCTACTCCGGAGACGAATGCCCTCTACCTGCGCCCATGTTTCGGGATCCTGGAAAGGGATTAAGTCATCGGTCGGGTCGGTTCAAGGAGAGGAACGTGCGAGCGCGCAACGGAGACGCAGTAATCCAGACAGTGGAGTGGAATGGAACGGAATAGAATAGAGCTGGAAGGGACCTTGGAGGTCTTCTAGTCCAGCCCCCCTCCCTCAAGCAGGAGAACCTATAACATTTCAGACAAGTGACTGTCTAGTCTCTTCTTAAAAACCTCCAGCGATGGAGCGCCCACGATTTCTGGAGGCAAGCTGTTCCACTGGTTAATTGTCCTCGCCGATAGGAAGTTTCTCCTTAATTCCAGGTTGCTTCTCTCTTTGGTCAGTTTCCAACCGTTGTTTCTCGTCCTTCCCTCTGGTGCTTTGGAGAATAATTTGACCCCCTCTTCTTTGTGGCAGGCTCTCAAATACTGGAAGACTGCGATCCTGTCACCCCCATTTCTTCTTTCCTTTAGACTACTAGCCAAACCCAAATCCTGCAGCCCTTCTTCGTATTCTTCTCCAAAAGGGCGCGCGCGCTCCAGCCGCCGCCTTCTCTTTATTAATCGGAGGCAGGTCTTCTTGCCCGGGCCGTTTCCTCTCAGCCAGACCGCTGAAGGCATCCCCCACCCCCCAGAGTGTGTGATTCTTCGGGTGATAAGCAGTCAACTTAGGTTGCAACCCAGCGCAGACCTCTGCCAGAGTCAGTCCCGCGCCCCAACCGGGCGACTCCCAAGCGCCCATCCGGACTTGCAGGTAAGGGGGGGGGGGCTGTCCGATCCTGGCGCAGAGAATGGGGAGGGGGGAAAAGGGCCAGGAGGAAAGCACAAGCCTCGGGGCCAAGAGACCCTCCCGCCAAGCAAGATCTGCAATGTCCGGCGGGCTGGCGAGGGATTTCCAGCAGAGCCACTTCGCTGGTGGAGAAGCGCGCAGGGCAACATCCCCGCGCCGTCTGAGCAGAAGTCAGGAGAAAGCTCCCCGCTGAATCTGAAGGGCCCCCCCCCGCGCAGAAGAGTTTGCCCCCAGGCTTCCCCGGGACCACCTCTCATCGCTGCAACTCTGACGGCTGAAGGCCAATCAACCCTAGCGCCCCCCACCCAAAAGAAAAATAATAAAAATCGGGAAAACGCGCCTGAGCTTTCGCTGATGCTTTGAAAGTCTCCATCCTTCCTCCATCCCCCCCCCTCGAACTAAGCGCCGGTACCTCGCCTTGTAACTTGAGTTTAAGACCCCCCCCCCTTTTCCAGGGAAGAGCCGGTTTTTAGTAACGTTTTTGGATCAAGCCCGCAGCAGAAAGAACTATTAAATAATAGCTTCTTCAGCGATTCCCACCCATCTTTACTGATCATCGGATGGACCGGCGGCAGATCGTTTTATTCTTCACACACGTTTCCAAAAGGGATGAAATGAACAAATGTCTATGGAGAGTCTGGGTCATGCTGCTCGTGGTTGTCCCAAGGGTGCTTTTTTTCCCCCCCCAAAGGCAAACTGGACTTTCCTGGAAGCTTCTTGGGTCAGAAGCAAGAACGTCTTCAAAGAAAATCAAAGGTTGCCTCTTGTAAAAGCACCTTTGGGATGAAATGAACCACTCGCGCATCTTGTTGGTTGCTCAATAGCCTAAGACAGTGGTTCTCAACCTGTGGGTCGGGACCCCATTTGGGGTCGAACGACCATTTCACGGGGGTCGCCAAACAACGCAGTCCGCCATTTCCCCCCCCTTTTTCTTAGCTGTGCTACTCCCTTTTATTCTATTGACTTGTGAAAGCCAATAGAATAGACTCTCTTGAATCGAGTCTAATTCTATTGGCTTTCAAAAGCCAACAGGAATTGTCCAGGCTGTATCTGCCCTGCTGAGCCCGCCAAAAGTCCCAGTCTGCAAACGGTGCTGCTGCACCAGTTGAGTAGTCATCGACTTACGACTGGATGAGTAGTCCTCGACTTACGACCGGTTGGGGGTCACGGCATTAAAACGGTTGAGAACCACTGATTGAAAGGAAGCTTGGCCAGTCCACTGGCGATCTTCTGCCATTTGAGTGCTCAGGGGAAGGGTCTGCTCGACGTGATTAAACCCCCGCCACCGGCAACCAGCCCAGGCAGGATAGGCAAATGTTTGGTAGCCAGAAACTACAATTAACATTTGGGGGGAAGATGGGGGGGAGGGGGGCTGCACTATAGAACAAACCTGAGAGTAGAAGGTCATGATGTAGCACAGGCTGGGAATTCTGCTTGGCTGCTTCTTCCCCATAAAAGGAATGTTATAAATCGGTTTTGGGGGCATGCATTACAATTTTTATGGTTGCTGTGTCTCAGAATGCTAGGAAACTGTCATTGGAGACATAATTCCAGGGGTTGAGAACGATGATCAAATACTACACTGGTCTACAATGTGGCCCCAAGACAGAATATACAGGTTAACACCTAGACCAGTGGTTCTCAACCTTTTTAATGCCGCGACCCCCAACCGGTCGTTAAGTCGAGGACTACTCAACCGGTCGTAAGTCGAGGACTACTCAACTGGTGCAGCACCGTTTGCAGAGTGGGACTTTTGGCAAGCTCAGCAGGGCAGAGACAGCCTGGACAATTCCTATTGGCTTTCAAAAGCCAATAGAATAAAAGGGAGGAGCACAGCTAAGGAAAAGGAGGGAAAAAATGGCGGACTGCGTTGTTTGGCGACCCCCGTGAAATGGTCGTTTGACCCCAAATGGGGTCCTGACCCACAGGTTGAGAACCACTGGGCTAGACCCACACAGGAAACACTTGGCGGAATTTTTAGTCCCTAAAAAACCAAAATATATACTTGAATGCCAGTTAAGCTGGAATGAAGCTCTGTGTAAAATCAAACACAACTAAGCCCAGACTGGCCTACACAGGGCAGTACACAAAATAATCCCAGGAGAGATGCTCTTCCTAAAATGGGAATTAGTGATTTAAATTCCCCTGTTCAATTCCAACAGCAACATCGTTAAACCACCGTACTGCCACACTGCAACAAAATACCTCAAATGAAAGATTCTCTCTTCCTTCTATTATCCTTTGGTAGATACCAACAGAAATATTTGGTTATATATATATATACTCAGTTACAGTACAGTGATTAGGACAAAGCAATACAGTAATTGGCAGTCTCTATTCCATGCATCCTTTATTCCATTACAACCACTGTTGTTGCGTTCTGGCAACAAATACACAAACCATAATCAATTGCAATCTGTTTGTACAACAGTCAAAGGCTTACAGTACATTTAAGGCCGTTCAACTTGGGAGATAAAACTTTAGGCCTTTTAGTGTCATGATTTTAAAAGTGTTTTGCATATTCTGTGCAATTCCAGTGTCAAAATTGATAAATTTCCCCTAAACCAACCAACAAACAAACAAACAGAAGAAGGATCAGTTTCAATGAAAGAGTTACACAAATTCATCAAAAACAAATGTGCAATTTGTTAGTTGCCCTGGAAATCTTATAAAAACCTTTAATAGCAAAGCAAGACAGGGATAAAAACTTAAAACAGAACATATTCATATACAAACCAGAATTTGTTAACTAGATCTAAATTTTATAAATTGCCAGGAGTTATGCATTAAAGTAAACCCACTTATATACAATATTTAAAAAAAAAAATCTTTAGAAAGAATGCCAGTCGCACAAGTAACTGCCAAAGCCGACTCTTATTCAAGATTGAGAACATTATCTTAGGAAGGGTGGGGGGTTAGTAAATTTGTACATTTCTTCCAGTTTTGTTTTAAAAAGAAGATTTCAGAGGTTTATCCATTTAGTTATTATAACTTTCCAAGTATTTCATTTTGTAAATTTGCAAAAAAAAAAAAAAAAGACAATTGAAATGTTGCTCGAGAATTGCCACAGTGGGGATATTCTGGGGATATTCTCCAGAAATTTTCATTCATTATTGTAGATAGGAAGGAAAAGTCGCCCAAAATGCTCCCCTAAGAAACACAACGAAAAATCACCACAAAATTCCTTTCCAGTTACAATGAACACATTTTAAAAATGGAAAATGCTCTAAGACTGAAGCCTGTGGTCCAAATTCTTTGCATTCCAGATCGTGGGAAGATTTTAAAAAGAGACAAAGAGGGAAAAAAAGGAAAAAAAAAAAGCCCTATACATATAGATATCTAAGACAAACTACCCGAAAGGCAGGATAGGAAAATGGGGAAATATTATACTGCACAGATAAGTGTCCTCACGTTCATCCATTGTCCTTCTACATCTCCAGCTTTTCTAGTGTAAGGAACGTACAAAATATTGTGGGTTACAGTAGTGACCATTAGAATAGCTTCCTGATATTAAAAAAAGGAGACAGTCAAGACTTGATTGGATCCTGCCCTATCAAAAGGGCTTTTCTTCTTCATAGTATAAAGCTATGACAGTTAATCCAGTTAATGCATGTGCAAAAACAGGTAAATTCTTCTATTCACAGTTTAAATGAGGTAAAAAAAAGAAAAGAAAAGAAATCAAGAAAAAAAATCAAGTACCCTAGGTTTCTTCAGGAATTAGGAAGTTCATGAGATATGAACTGTTTTAGTCGTTCTAGGTACTGTGCGTAAAGCTCTATGTCATTGTGGCCAGCCCCTTCCACCCAAAGGGGCTCCACAGCCCGGGGGCATCGCTCATACATTGCCAAACCGTGGGAAAAATCTATGACTTCATCTTCGGTACCATGAATCACCAAAACGGGAGAGGTGACTTTGGAAATCTTGTCAATGCTGAGGAAATAAGCACAAAGTTAACAGGTTATTAAAGAGGATGCGACATTCAGCAATGCTCTTTGTTTCTTGAAACTATGTTCAGGGATCTTGAGGATGTTAAAGGAGAAGGCCATCAACAACCTGGCCTAAATTACTAAAAAAAAAGAAGCCATCCATTCTGTGGAGAGGTTCAGTAGCAATAGATCAGAGATCCCCAACTTTCTGAGCATCAGGGACCGGTTCTGTGGAAAGAGATTCTTCTGCGGACCGGAGGGGGCGTGGTTTCATGTACTGCCTGCATCCCGCGGATGGGGGTTTGTTTGTGTGGACCGGCTTCTGGCTTGCCGCGGCCCAGTGCCGGTCCATGGACCAGGGATTGGGGACCCCTGCAATAGATGGCTCAGAAAAGCCCTGGACATGTATCAAAGCATCGTCCTCAAACAACTACATCAGGAGTCCCCTCCAAGCCCTGGGCCGCGGCTAGTTCAAAACCTGGCCATGCGAGTGGAGGGCACGTGCAACACTTGCAGAAATGGAGCTGTGTGCGTGCACACCTGCCACTCATTCCCACCCTCCGGTGTTGGGATGGGCTGCCAAGCTGGAAAGGTTGGGGACTGCTGAATTAAGATGACAGCGCAGGCCAACTGGTTCCCTGGCACCTGAGAACCTTTTTTTGATATTTGTGCATCTCGCACTATTGAACTATTTTTCTCAGCACCTTTTCTTCTCCCTCGGCTGCACTTGTTACAATCGCTGGTGTCAACGTCCAGAATTCCCTTCTGCCTGAGGACACGTCCCCGCTTTCCATGCTTAGATGAAAAGACATCAAAAGATACCATAGGTAGACTAAATTAAAAAAGAAATAGGAACTGGAGAAGGTTATGTAAATGTTTGCACTTGGGGTCCTCCAGAACTGATAGTGTCTTGATAAAGAGAACACTCCCCTAGAACAGGAGTCTTCAAACTTGGCCCTTTTATGACTTGTGGACTTCAACTGCCAGAATTCCTCAGCCAGTCCGGCACGCTGGGAGTTGAAGTCCACAAGTCATAAAAGGGCCAAGTTTGAAGACCCTTGCCCTAGAAGCTGCCTTCAAGGAATGAACAAAACTGTCCGTGTAATACAATGAGATCTGTCTGTTTCAGGAGAAGATATTCTGCTTAATTGTAAAAAGGAGCATCTGAAATATCTGGTTGGCATGCAGGAATAAAGCGGCAAAAACTAGCAGATATGGTAGGAGGTAGGCAGAAAAAGACTCTTATGACAGTCAGATGGGCTTTTCCAGTGAGAAACAGCTACTGGACACCAACATATCTCTAATCTTCTTGCTTGCTGAAAAGGAGAACAGTCTTGAGAATTCAGAAGAGAGTTGAGTTGAGCAAGCTGGATGACAGCCAGGTCTGTCTGCGAAGTTCTATTTTCTATATAATTATAATTTTGATTTTTCCAACTAGAACCAATGTTTGTACTACCAGTTCTATGAAAACTTTTAAAATGGCCTTTTTCAAACTCGCCCACTTTAAACACTCTCACCAGAAAGAACAATGCACAACCAGTTTGTGCTTACTTGCTAAGCGGCTTTACATATTTTGCAGCAAACAGACGCATTTCACAAGTAGTCTAATATCACATTCTGCTCTAAGCTCTGGGGTAATCACCCCAAAGATCAGAATTACTTCAAAGAGAATGGAATTTAGCTGTTATCCCTCTAATGCTGCTCAGCTCTGCTGTATTGCTGTTCTGTTAAGAGAATACAGACCCCCAGATTATTATAACCGTCTTCACAATGTATAAGGTACTTATAGGCTTTTTCTTCAAGGCCACATATGGAATTTAATTATGATCAATGAATGATGCTTCCCACAGATGCAATTCGGCACATACCTTGGAAAAGCATCAAAGCAGTATGTTTTTCTGGTGTCAGGGAAAGCTACCCTCAATCCAGACATCAAAGGTGAATGAAGGATTACAGCTGCACACTCATACCGAGATGCCAGGTCTACCGTGGGAACAGTTCCAATACTCTGTCCATACAGAATGATGTTTTCAGGACTGACACCATACCTGCAAGGGGAAAGCAAAGGAGATCAGATATGCACTGTATTTTTTCAAAAGAGATTCATTCTTTTTTAAAAACAATTTTTTAGATATAAGATTTTTAGAAAAAAAGACTCTTTTTTTGGAGATATAAGATATACACTAGCTATTACTACAATGAATAATGTTGGATTCCTAGTAAGTAGTAGAATATGAAAGAAGGAAAATGTAAATAAGAAACAATGGGGCAATAAGGACAAATATTTCAAGGAAAAAAGAGGGGGGAAATGTAAAGAATAGAAGAGTACTGTTACAAACTGCTGTTAACAAAAAAGGATATATTACGTGTATATGTGTGTAAAGTTTGTTGTGTTTTGTTTTGTTTTATTGGTCTAAAACAGTATTTCCCAAACTTGACAATTTTAAGGCATGTGGACTTCAACTCCCAGAATTCCACAGCCAGCGTTGGGAATTCTGGGAGTTGAAGTCCTCATGCCTTAAAATTGTCAAGTTTGGGAAACACTGGTCTAAAATAATAATAATAATAATAATAATAATAATAATAATAATAAAAGAAGAAGAAAAAAAGATATACACTAGCACACTGTCAAATCCTGGGGTGGTTTTGTACAATTCTGGGAATATATTATTGATATGGCTTTATATATAGCTTATAGGTAACACATAAATTACACTTGGGGTAGGATAATAGGAAATATATGAGGAAAGTCAAAAAGCAAAATTTATCAACCAGGTTATCATTTTGGCCTTAATTCTGTATATCTGGATAGTAACCACCACTATACTTCTGTCAGAGAAATATGTTTCACACCTTGCCACATTCCTAGCGTTTAATAATAATTTTTTAATAAATACTTTATGTTTCAGCTAGACATCAATAGAGCAGATAGCCAATGCCAAGTTGCTCATTCGGGAAGATAATGTTAAGAGAGAGATGGGGCAAAGAAGGGAAGCCAGAAAATGTGAATGAAAGAGGCTGGCAATTAATTATTATAAATTATTTGAGTTCTTTACAAAGACATTATGTGGATCTAAATGGTAATTTATTTCTGCCTCAGTTTCCATGCTTGTAAAGTGGGAAAACCTGCTTATTTTAAATGGTTGGTATGAAGACACTACTGCATTCATCGTAAAGTGTATATGATTATGGCATGATTGATTTTGGTGTATGCATAGATAATGACGAAGACATAAGATATATTTAAAGCATTATTCAAACCTATTTGTCCTACAGTACATGTTTTAGGCTTCTGAGGCAAGTCCTTAGCAGTCTGGCTTTAGAGAGCCCAATACATTTTAAAGAAGAGTTGTGGACTCACTCTTAAAAATATTTTCTTTGAAGGAAAAAGGGAGGGGGGGATGTCTCTAAGAAAACAGAAAAACTATGTGACTTTATGGAACCTTCAGAATAAAATTGATGAGCAAGCTGCTCCTGTACAAATCGTCTCTTAGAAAAATTCCCTAAAACTACAGGATGTCAAATTCATGTTTGGAAGGAGGGAGGGAGGGAGCAGAAAAGATGGACACAGTGGAAAGATACAGGGTTGAAAAGGTAAAAGTTTAGTACATTTTGGGACTGGCGGACAGTGTACTTGCATTCTGAAATAAAAACACAGTGTCTCCACAGAGACGAACCCAAAGTACACCAGAAATGACAGGTCCAGCTTTTCCCAAACCAATTTAAACACAGCGTGAGTTTAAGACCACAATGGCTTTGCTTTAAAAAAAAAAAACAGTGTGAAAAAAAAAGCAGAGTCAGATTTGCAACACATTTTATTTATAAGCTGTAAACAAGGATCCACACTGCTATGCGAGCCAATTTGTTATGATAGAACTACTTATGCACCTTTCTGCTACACAAAAAATGCCAGGAAAAGATTTCGATTTTTTGTCTCTCTTTTACAGTTCAGGATCAGAAAAACCAGCATCCAACTCTAATATAATTCTCTAATAATCAGCCTTTTGTGTTTTTCGGGAGGGGGGGGAGTAGAAGAGGGGTAGTTACATAGATAAAAAATATAGTTCTTAAGCTAGAGGAGGAACCAGAATGGTGCTTCAATACACCAACAGCACTGGGTTGATGTTGCCTTACAACAGGGGTCTTCAAACTTGGCCCTTTTATGACTTGTGGACTTCAACTCCCAGAATTCCTCAGCCAGGCACGCGTGCCTGGCTGAGGAATTCTGGGAGTTGAAGTCCACAAGTCATAAAAGGGCCAAGTTTGAAGACCCCTGCCTTACAAGCTATTATTCCTTCAAAAGGAGATCCTTCTCCTTCAATATTGGGATGAGAATATGAAATTGTATATGAATATGAAATCCTTAAAAAGTTTTTCACCCACCAAACCAAATCACGTTCCTGTTCCTGTTCCCCCCCCCCCACTTTTCTGAATGGCACATAAACTAGGATTTTGACAACATGCCGCCTTTTTTAATTCCAGAAAGATTCCAAGGCAGCTTAAATTAAAAACTCTTTGGAACTTGCTATCTGCCCTTCTGCAGACACAAGGTTATCTTCCCCCACCCCCACCCCCACCCCTAATCTGGAACATCAGTATGAGAACAAGTACTCATACGTAGTACTTTATGCAAACTGTTACTCAAAGCTAGTTGCCTCTTATTCCCTGAATTCCCAAGTCATTTGTCTATAGAAAAGGGCGGACAGGGCCAAATGCAACTGCTACATCTTATAGCGACTGCTAACATTGGTGCATGGTACTGCTGGACTTCTTCCAACGTAAGAAAATGCTTTGCAAAGCAGAGCGTAAAATTTTGCAACGTATAAGATTAAACATAAAGCCTGGATTTTCAAGTTACAACCATAAACACTTACAGAGTGTGTTTTTACCATTCTGGTTTGTTTAGGACAGGGGTAGGCAACCTTGGCTCTTTTATGACTCGTGGACTTGCTGGCTCAGGAATTCTGGGAGTTGAAGTCCACGAGTCATAAAAGAGCCAAGGTTGCCTACCCCTGATTTAGGAAGACTAACTTTTGTACCGTGTGTAAATTTAATCAGTTGCATTTAATTGAAGATGCCCTTCAAGAAGCAAAGGGAGTATTAAAAATCTAAAAGACTGTTTATCACAGGTTGGAAGCATTTGCTAGCCACTTAAGGATTCCCTTCACTGAACAAACTATTAATAATTCAGAAGAAAGCTACATTTCTTTACGGTGTTTTGGTTTGTTTTTTAATTGGAGTGATACACAATATCTGTACACAACTCAAACTCTGGGAAACAATTCTGCAATAGATATCCATCAGAGGAAGTTCTCCCCAGATTTTATGGAACAGGATACAAGCTTCTTTTTTTCAATCTGAATACTTTACAGGGATCTATATTAATAGGAAGTCGGCTGACTCAGTGTACTTTTGCCTCATACAGCAAATCTGGAAACTAGGATCTTGACTTGAATTACTGCACAAAAGGTTGGAAACAAATCTAACCATTAAATAAAAGCTTGACCATAAGAAAGTTTAAGCACCACTGACTTAATCACACTAGGAATTATTTATTTCAAGACAGTTGAGTTATATCACGGCTCCACATATCATCTTAAATCGCAGGTATCAAACTTGACCGTGTCACGTGACCTATCATGATGTATTACAACTTTTTTGCCTTTGCGGAGTTGGGATGGGTGTGGCCTTCAGGTGACGCATCTAGCCCGTGGGCCACCAGTTTGATACCCCTGATCTAAACCCAATTGGGAAATAAAGTGATGGCTGAGTACAGGGTAGGCATAAAACAAACCCTCTCTTGCAGCATTACTCTGGTTCTCTATTTTGCTTTTTTAAAAGTCTGTTGAGGAAGGAAGAAATTAATCCTTTTCAGCTCATGATAAGGAGCTCCAAGCCTGATCAGACCTTTGAACAATGACTTTTTCTCTGTTATCAATTACTGAATATTACTTAGCAATTAAGCAGAAAGCTCTGCTCAGCAAAAATTATGCCAGCTCATTGTATCTCAGTTCTCGGACTGAATATGCTCAGTACTTTTATTAAATAGGACTATGACTAATAACCTGCGATTATTTATTCTACCCTGAGCTCACAGCATGTACCGTTCTGATGTGGGAAAAGTAAACTTATCCGAAACTGCACAAAGAATAAAACATTAAGAGCTAAATACTGTATGTCTGAATCGATCACCATTGGAAAAGGAGTCACCCATGTTCCAAGCAGATGTAGATACTTCCTCTTACTTAGATTACAGAAATTATAAACACAGAGAAACGTATAATGAAAGGAATCTGTGTGAAGGAAGGGCTGGGGGAAAATCACATCTCAACTTCCTTATGATGTGAGGAGTTTTGGTCTCTGATTTCAACAGTTGTCTGAAATGGCATAGGGTTTCCTGTTTGAGCAGAGTTGGTCCCCTCCAACTGTTATTGTTATTCGTTTCAAAATAGGAGACAGTAAAAACAAAACATCCCCAGCTGGCTGCATGAATGGCAACAATACTAACTAGATCTCACTTACATACTCCAAACTGCGAGATTACTATTCATAGAGCATAGGCTGTATTCTGTGGGCATAAGTACTCAATACAGGTGGTCCTTGACTTACAATCATTTGTTTATAGAGAAAGTTATAATAGAACTGAAAAGAATGACTTATAGCAGATCTTCATGTTTATAGCTGATGCAGCATCCTGTAAAATTTGGATACCGGGAAACCATATTTATGATGCTTGCAATGTGCCAGGGGTCATGTGATCAGCATCTGCAACCTTCCCACTGGGCTTTAGTCAAGCAAAGTCAATGGAGGAAGTCAGATTTACTTAATGACTGTTGCAAAAGAGGTCCTAAAACCGGGTGTGACTCATTTAACCAGTCTTGCTTAGCAACAGAAATTCTGGTCCTAATTGTGGTTGTAAGTTGAGGACTACCTGTAATGCCTTTTATTTCTCATTTCCAGGTAACTTGAATATAATTTTTATTCCCTCTTCATTGAAAGCAGGAGTAATAGATTGAGAAGCTGGAAGAAAATATAAAAGACTTCAACCTCAAAGTTGATTCATCTCATTGGCCAGTATGAACTTGAACAATCTCCTAACTTTTGTAATCAAGACTGCAGATATCCAATATTAATTTCAAGCCAGACACTAAACTGGTATACTCAAATTAAAATGGCTATACCCAAAGCACGTTTGCTATGTATCTTCTTTACACCAGCAACAATCTGCCAAAGATTAAAGTATGCTGCCTCAATTTCCAAACTTCCATTTCCAGACTTCTCAGGTAACATGGTCTTTTACAAAGCCAAAGCTCTAAAAGCCAACAACGCTACCCTATAAAATGTCCTGATTATTACTGGTTGTGAAAAAGAACTTTGAACTTATTAAAATCTAGCTTGGTGAGTGAAGGATTTTTATGTGACTGCCCTTACCTACCTAGGTTAAGCATCCTAACACAATAGGTTTGATACTACCTAGTTAGCACAATGCAACCCATAGCTGTATTTTCACTGTCACCATTATATTGTTGTGTTGTCTAAGAATGCAAAAAATCAAATCTCACAGCGAGTGATAAATTACAAAACATCAATATTACTACCTTTTCTGTTACCTGACGTACAATTAAAGGCTTGTGCATCGCTGGTAGCAACCTCCCATTTTCAGTTTAATCAAAGTCACTAAAGAAAGACTGTAATTTCATATCAAAGAATCAGCTGCTTAAGAAAGATTGGTTTGCAGAACTGGCAGGACTAAGGTTTCTGTTTAAGAAACACAAAGGTCTCTTACATGCAAGGACTTACAGTAGCTGAATATCTGGGATTGCAACAAAGTCAGCATTGCAGACAAAACAGCACAAAGAATACAACAGTCCACCCAGCTGTATCAAGACAACTTTGTACTCATTTTGCTACAAACAAGATAGCATCTCAAAGATGTGATTAAAACTACCACCTGCCACCATTTCCTTAGGCATTTTTACTCATCTTGCATTTACCTTGTTCTTAAGGCCTGCCAAGCTGCATCAATGTCTGCATAAAGGTTTTTTTCCGATGGTTTACCGGTGCTGACTCCATATCCCGAGTAATCATAAGAGAAGACATTGCAGTTGATGCGGGAGCCGAGGCCAATATAGAAGCTGCACATTTGGCCCAGGTCGACAGCGTTGCCATGAGAGAAAAGCAAGGTATACCGGCTAGAAGGAGCACAGCGAACAAACATGCATCCCAGCCGGTTATCCCGGGCTGTGCGCGAAAAGAAAACTTCAACAGCATCCAGTTCTCGTTGGGAGTACTGCCAGTCAGCCCGTTCAGTCAAATGTAAGCTACAACTGCTGGTTGGCGTCCCCACTGTAGCAGCATTTTCTTGCTGTTCTAGTTGCATCACAGTGTAAGTGGGTTCCGGGGGCAAAAACGCCAGTTTGGCCGCTATGCGACTGGGGCACGGCGGGCAGCAAAAAAGCCAGCATAGCTCGCCTAGAGAGAAACCGTTCATTCTGGGGCCTTGTTCTGGCATCAGAGATGCTTGATGGAAAACCCCACACCACGAAGAGACGGGGGCAAAAAAAGGATTCAGAGACGATCCCGGAGGAAACGTTTCACTTCAAGTGACCCAGATCGGAGGCGACCTGTTTGATTAAGGCTCTGAATTATTCTAAATAATTCTCACGCCCAAGAGGTCCATGGCTTCTAGGAACACCTGAATGGGCGCCAGGAAACGAATGCCATCCTCAATTTTTCCTCTTGCAAAGTCTCCCCAGACCCAGTCAGAACGGCTGCCGTGGGTGACTTCTAGCAGCTGGACATTCAGCCTCTCTTTTTATCCACCCTGAAGCCTCCTCTTCCGAACGTCACCTACCCCTCGATGCCTAAACCTGGCATGATCGCTACATAGACTCCCATTAAACCAACATGGAACATGCCCAAGATCCCTCCTGGCTTATGCAGAGAGCAACTCTAATCTCTTATAAGGGGTTATGCTTTTTTTTTTTAAATGAAATCCTGGCAGCCCCTATTCAAGATTTTATCCCCTCCCCCAACGAATGAAGCCCCTCTCAAGATACCCCCAAGCCTCTCCCTCCGATGCCCTCTTCCTCGTCTCTTTAATCCCCGAGGGCTTCTGATGCTTGGGACGCCCACCTGCCTCGGCTACAGCCCCCTCCCAGCTTTATTACCCCCCCCCCCCAAGGCCTAAAGGTAGGAAGACCCTCACCCAAGCAGCCCTACGAACTGAAGGGCCCCCACCCTGCCAATAGGACCCCCGCCCCCTAGGCCAGCCTGAGAGGCTGCGTTCAAGGAGGCCTGGAGGAAAGGGGCCTCCAAGGGACGGAGCGAGAAGGCGGCGGCGGCGGCGGCCTCGAGAGAAAACCAGGCCGGGACAGTCAGGCGGCGGCGCCTCCTCCCCTTCCTCCCGCGAGGGATGGAGCGCGGGTCCCTCGCCTTCCACGTGGCCGCAGGGAATGAGCGAGCCCGGCGGGTCGGAGCAAGGCCGGGCCTCCCTTCGTCCTCGTCTTTCCCCTGGCTGCCTTTCCCTCCTCCCCGTCGAATGAGCGAGCCCGGCGGGTCGGAGCAAGGCCGGGCCTCCCTTCGTCCTCGTCTTTCCCCTGGCTGCCTTTCCCTCCTCCCCGTCGAGTCGAGGGTTCACTTCCGGGTCACTGCCCGCCCCGTTCCCACGGCCCTGCCGCGAAAGAGGAGCGCTTTACATTGAGAGGAAGCGGAGAAGACCAACCAACCAATCAGAAGAGCGGCTGGAGATTATTTTTTTTTTCCCCCCACTCTCGCTCCGGCTCATTCCTTATGCGCCTGCGCGTTCTTCACCGCTTTTGGTCCCTTCTCCGTAATTAACCATAGAGTCACCTCGCGACGTCGTACTGCCCCCTGGGTAGGCGCAGCTGAAACTGCGGCTGCTGCTTTCAGAATAATCCCGCCCTAGTTCAGCCGGCTCTTGTGTGGCACGTGCAGGCGCGGGAGAGCTTTAGCTGGTCCTGTTCTAGACGACCTCGGCTTGATCCGTGTCTAAAGTTGCTCTCTGTGCAGACTGACCTAAGAGAAGGGCGGATGGCTTCTGAGGAGACCTGTTGGACGTGGAATTACAAAAGCTCTGACCTCAGCTTTTTTTTTCCAATGGAGATAAATGTCTTTTTAAGCAAAATTTGCACTGTCTGCAACTTTACGGGTACTTCTGAGGATGTCAGCATGTCCTTTTTTTTTAACATTTGAAATTTTATTTTTAAAAATAAAATGATCTGATGGCTTTGCCTGATACATGTAACCAGCTTTGTTGGTCTGCAATGAAAGACAAGATGCTTTACCACCCCAGTTCTCAATTCATGCACTGAAACTGAACAGCAGCAATTTTATAGCTATTTCTATCTAAAGATACTGTGAACTGAAGCAAGGGCTTCCTGCAGGCTCCCAACCATTATAGCCTGATTTGCACATTGTGTTAAATGCACCACAACAACTGGTTCACATATATACCAACCAAACAATGGTTAATATTAACTCCACTTGGATTGCTCTTCTCCTATTTTAGGGGGCAACTGTTAGAAAGGAGCCCCCATTTTGATCAGGCTCTGACAAAACCTCAAATCATGCTTCCAAGCCAGTGCACACACAGCCTTCTTAAACAAGATTTGTTGAGATGAAGGAGATAGAATTTCAATAATGTTGTTGTTGGTTGTGAAGTCGTGTCCGACCCATCGCGACCCCATGGACAACGTTCCTCCAGGCCTTCCTGCCCTCTTTAATAATTTTAGTAACAGATTATTTCCAGTTTAGAACCAATTCATTCCTCAGCACATGAGACTTTCTCAGTTTCTTTGAAATGGCTCCTATGAACTGACCATTACAATTTCCATCACTGTGTCTGGGTCACAAAACCATCCAGATGTATTCTGAAAGGAGGAAAAGTCAGCATTTTTTTGCCATCTGTATAAAGATGTTGTGATTGGTGATCTAGTGCTGGCAATCTTTTTGCCCATAAAATGAATTAAATTCCAGGTGATTTCCCCCCCCCCGCAGCTCATGAAGGGATCGACACAGCAGAAATGGTTATTGTCATAAGTTTGGGGCAGGGAAAGTGGTTCCCTCTGAAGAATGGGACTTTCAGCAAACATATTCAGAAAGAGAATTATCTATGAAACAAAGATTAACATCTTTGATTAACAAAGAGCCGTGGGGGCACAATAGTTAGAATGCAACTGTATGGTAGACTAACTCTACCCACAACCAGGAGTTCGATCCTGACCGGCTCAAGGTTGATTCAGCCTTCCATCCTTCCGAGGTTGGTAAAATGAGGACTCATACGCTGCTGACTCTGTAATTCACTTGCAGAGGGTTGTAAAGCACTATAAAGCGGTATATAAGTCCAAGTCCAATTGCTATTGTTATGAAAGGTTTGGAACAAAGGGAAATTGTGTAGTCTGTTGCTTTCTTGCTTTTTGTAACCGGTTTTTGCACCAGGGAAATCTCATGCAGGCGTGAGAATCATGTACATGGATGGGATGTGCTGAAGGAGGGAATAAGGGACTGTACAGGAATGATTGATGTCTTCCTTATGATATAATGGCTCTGTTGTCTGATTTTCATTGGGTAACAAAGTTTATAAAGCAATGCTACTAACTTTCCAAGGTGTGGCACTTCTGGATGTGACTCTGCCAGTGTTCCAGATTGTTTGCCACCCAGCTGCTTAATTTGATCAAATAAAGTGCTGCTTGATCAAGAAGTCTCCGCTTGGGTTATCTGATTAGAATGATATGATGTCTCAAGTTCACGTAAGGGATTGGAACCTTACAGTTATTAACTGGGAAGTCCTTATTCAGGTTATTCAGAAACCACTTCCCAGGATTCAATACATTTTATTCCCTAATCTGCATGTTCAGCACTGCAGCTCAAATTTGCTTCCAAGCTGGTTGGACTGGAATGGAGTATGGTAGATCACATTAGTTTGATTTTTATATCCTGCAAGTCTGAATCCATTTACTCAAGTTAAGGTTACTACTATTTCAAGAACACAATGCAGTTGTAAGGATATTACTAATAAAACCCCAGTGCTTTTTTTTATAGATGATGGTGTCATAATTCTCAACACCCTTCCCCCCTATGAGTAGCTGATGGCTTTCCTTGTTCTGTTCTTTCACTGGAGACCTTGAAATGAAAATACTGCAAATTTCTTATATAGTAAGGAAGGATGTTATTCTGTCTTTTTTTCCCTCCACCTGGAAATTGGATGTATTGCAGGCACCAAAACCACCTTTCTTAAAAGAAGAATTGACGCATCAAAATTAGGAAGCAACTCAGCTAAACCAACAGTGTACTAAGAAGAGCTTTGGCTGATATCACAATATAAGGAAATTACTCAGCCTGATTCTGCAAGCTTTTATTATTTTAACAAATAAAGTTCTGTGGGTCTCCCACATCCTGACAAAAGTTTTGTCCGTAGGGTAGGGCTTGTACAGGAGAGACAATCCATGGAGTAGTTCCATTGATTCATGCCAAGAAAAATTGAATGCAAAGAAATATCAGTAAATTGCAGTTTTAGATTGCCAGTTTTACTTCTGCAACCATCCTGATCCCCTTAGGATTACTCTGTCTTGTTGCTAACGTCAGCATTTAAGGAAAAGAGGTTATGGGAGCAAATACAAAAAAGGGGGGGTTGGTTGGTTTTTTTTTAACCCCACCCATCTTTTCCCCAGTGGAACAATTTCCTTTGAACGATTCCGTAAGCCTTTGGGTGAGTTTCCTGCCATTTCCTCCTTTATTGTTTTCTTAAACTTATCCTACAGTTGCTCATGATTATTCTGTGCCATCATCAACTCAAGAGCATCTATTCATATATCAACTCTTGAATGAATAACCACTGCCTTGTTGGAAATATCAACACTAAAACTTCCTCTTTCTCTCTTTCTTCTAGAAATTTGAGAGCAAGTTCCTTGGTCAACATACAGATACATCTCAAGGCTATAGGCTAGACTGAAAACTTGAAAATAATATTCTGAAAGACAGAGAGAGATTCAGATGGACGGATCGTCAAAGCAGGTGGTAGCTCCTATGCAACCATGACTGACCCTGGAAATATAATCAAGGTTAAACCTAGTTAATATTGTAAGGTCCTTGGTGCTCTCTGAGCTTGGCTGTTTTCTTGTAGACGTTTCTTTACCCAACTAGTTAATATTATTAGTGCTGGAAAGGACTGAGGTTTGCTCTCTGTTTATATACCAGTACTAGTGGCTTACCTGTCAGTCCCATACAATATTTGTCCCAATACTCATATGGGAGACAATCAGAAAATATCAAGGCTGAAGATTGGATTAGGAAACTGGAATAAGGGAAGAATAATCCACTCTGTATTGTTGGCAAGAAATATCAACAACCATGGCAATATAGTTATTATGAACTGAGAATTGAGAATTCTCAATTCTCAACAAAGATGATTAGAGGTTTGGAGGCTAAAACATATAAGGAACGGTTGCTGGAATTGGGTATGTCTAGTTTAATGAAGAGAAGGACGAGTGGGGGGACATGATAGCAGTCTTCCAGTATCTCAGGGGCTGCCCCAAAGAAGAGGGAGTCAAGCTGTTCTCCAAAGCGCCTGAAGGCAGGACAAGAAGCAATGGATGGAAACTAATCAAAGAGAGAAGCAACTTAGAACTAAGGAGAAACTTCCTGACAGTTAGAACAATTAACCAGTGGAACAATCTGCCTCCAGAAGCGGTGAATGCTCCAACACTGGAAGTTTTTAAGAAGAGACTGGACTGCCGTTTGTCTGAAATGGTGTAGGGTTCCTGCCTGAGCAGTGGGTTGGACTAGAAGACCTCCAGGGTCCCTTCCCACATTATTATTATTATTATTATTATTATTATTATTATTATTATTATTATTATTATTATTATTATTATATCTTCATCTTTATCTCTAAGCAGAATGAACGAAGAGTAGGTAGTAATTTTGTTTAGTTATTACTACAATTTTAATAAAAAATGCTTGACAGACTATAGATACTAGCCTGGTTCATATAACACTCTAAGTAATATTTCACAGAGTCAGGCAGCATATAGATTTAAAAAATTACTATGGTTTGGTGTGAAACTAGGAAATGGTGGGTTATTTGCTAATCATGGTCAAAGCAGTGCAGGCTTGGGATAATGTGTGAGCTA